GATATGGGTCATAATCTCCAACCATAGCAGTTTTCCGTTATCCTGTATCAGCTTGGAGAATCACCACAGGTAGAACTATTTGTACAGTGAGGCATAGTACAGAGGCTTAAGCATGAGGAACTGTCAGCCTCACCAACTGCACAGATCAAACATGCATTCACAAGTAGAGCAAAGAATACAACTGAAGTAAACGCTGTAACAAATAATAAGCAAAAAAAGTGCTCAAGTAATGCCTCCTGTGAAATAAAATGGCAGCCCTTGCAAAATTCTAGGATCCTCCTCCCCTTGTTATTTTAATCACTTTAAAAGAACAGAGAAATCTGTGTCATAAAAGAAGGCAGGCTTGCTCAGAGAATTAAAATGCAAAGTAAAAGTTAATTAAATTATTGCTTAAGGAAGTTATCATCAAGACAATTTGCCCTAGCTAGGACTAAGCCCAAATAAACAGTCTGTAGAATTGCAGCCATTATCACTGAAATTTAAGGTATAGGTAACAATGCAATTACTAATCAATAGCCCAGGAATTGCCTGCTATTACAATTCCAGGAAAAACACCTGTAAGCAAACCAATAAAAAGTGTGTCCTTTGCAAAATATCTCATGAAACCAGAAACTTCTGACAATTGCTTCAAGTGGAAAACAGCTAGGATAGAATATGAGCGCTATGAGTCACTCTCATTTGCTGGACTCCACTGGACCCTAATTCAGCTTTTAGTAATAACAGAAAATGCTCTGACTGGGAATGCTTACTGCACTCCTCCATCATCTGAACAGCAGTAATATATTCTTTCCTGATGATATTCAGCTAACAAGGGAAAACAAAGGGACTTCAGACCAAAGGCAGCTTTTTCTGTATTAAGCCTGAAAGGAATGACTGCAGCCCAAATAAGCTTTGGGAATATGTAAGTAATCTGCCATGTGAAAAGCGGGGGCCAGAAAAGCATTTGTGTAACATAACTGCAAACAGCAGAGCAGACATCAGTGGAGAGACCCAGCCATGCTGTCACAAGCAACTGAAGGCATAAAAGAGGATCTTCATTATTTCACCTACCTTAATATTAACATATATCAAGTAGGTAACAGTACTTAGGGGAATAAATCATCTTATCCTGTCCTATAAAAACTCAGCTGAATAACTGAAATATAGAACATAATGTTCTCTTCACTTGTTGAAACACAAACGGAATCTGTCCCACACACAGAGAAAACATCAAAAGGGCATTATGTACATCATCCCACTTCTGCCTGCTTCAGTGCAGGAATCAGGAACACAGAGTGATGGACGAACACTTGCCCAGCAGCAACTGCTGTGGAGCTTCCAGGGAGGACAAAGAGATTTGCAATATACAATAATTGCAGAACAGGCCTGAATGGATACAACTAACGTTTCAGTTCACACTGAGGTCGCAGCTTGAGTCAAAGTGTACTGCATACTTTGGTGTACTTCAAGGTTGAGGAAGCAGATGGCAGGCCTTATGACTCATTTCTGATATAAAATATTTTATTCCAAGGCAACAACAGTGCAGAGGGGCAGGGAGAATAAATTCACTAAAATGCAGAACTGGAATTAGCAGATGAAGGAGGAAAACAATCTATAGCCAGAAAGCACTGCTCCTCTTTTTTTATCAATGCTCCTCATGTTTCACTTTTAATTCAAGATGAAACCAAGCAGTTTTCACACTTGAGAAGATCTCACACAGCAGAAGGCTGTCCTTTGCCAATAAGTTTTTTACTCTGAAAGATACCTGAGTTTTACAGTAATCTTGCAGAAAGGAGCGGTTTGGTGCAGATGTTTAAGATGCCATTTAAAACCAGCTCTTGACAAGTTTTTGACATTATTCTTCTGTTTCATTTCAGCCCTTAGAATGTTGTCTCTTCATAAAAGACTGTTTTCAAACTTTAACTTCCTCATACTATCATTTCCTAATATAGTGTTACTGAACAAGACATGTTACATCAAACAAGTTTTTTACATCATAATGTGTCATTGCTTGCCCTTGATGGAAACAGTTTTATGTACTTTACTGACAGAACGACTGAAAACCCAAATTTTATGGATTAGATTGGGCCCTCCTGTGGTAAAACCATTAGAAGGGGATGGAAGATTTATGGAGCCCTAAGACATTCTGTATGATTTTTATTAAGTTTTTTTACTTGATGCTTAGGTCTTGGGATTCAGCAGTGAGTTACTGGGATGAAGTACACAGGATTTTTGTGTCCAGATTACATTTTTTCCTAAGAAATGCCTTTTTACTTTATATTAGAACTGTTTGACTTCAAAACAGGTAAATTAGTGTTCTCTCCAAAAAGCTTTACTTTTCTAATTAAAAAAATTATATTATACTGGAACTTGGTATTTCTACTGCTTGTCAGAAAAACTTTTTATGGAACCACACAACTGCTGGATCCTTGCTTATAGCTTCTACATGAAATGTCTGCCATGGTGGGAGAGGATTATACTGTAAAGCTGTATTAGAATCATAGGTATGTCCACCTGCAATGGAGAAGAACATGACCTGTGGTAATACAGAGCTTAGCAGAAATTCTTTACATTCTCAGAAAGGTCAGAAGCTTGCCACAGACACGGTGTTGTTTAGAAATTTACAATCCTGTTTCTGTCAGATTGCACAAAATGCTGTGAAGATAGGTGAATCTCAGTGATCTTATCCTGGAAGTCATTCATGCCTTGGTCCTAATAAATATTCTATACTTCCCTGTTCCTAAAATCCACTAATGACTAAAACAACCACAGAAACAAAGCTCAAGTGCAATGTGTGTTACCTCGTCTTGTTCCAGCAAATTTAAATATGTATACTGCATAGGACAGTTGATATGTTTACCATACCTGAGAAAAAATATTTAATTCTAAAACTCTTTAAAAATATTGAAAATCCCATATCCCACTGCAAACTGTGAAATATTCAGAGACCAGATAATGATGAACACGTGAACAAACAGCATCACCCCCCAAGTACTGGAAGATAATTCCTCCAGTCTGACCCAGCTCATCGCACTTTGTATGTCAGCCTGCAGTAAACTCCGAAGCCTTCATATTACTGATGTGAGTAATAATAATGACCTCTTAGCGTAAACAATACACAGATCTTTAGCTTAATCTGTTCCATTGAAAGGAAGAAGCGATTTCTCTTCATGACACGTCCAGATATGGAGAGACAACTCGGAAGAAGTCAGCTGAAAATCTCACGGCCGGTGCTCAGGGGGACCAAGTACGGGGAGTGGAGCTGGGTGGGGTGGCTGACAGCATCCCTTCCTCAGCAAAGGACTAGAAGGCCTTTACTTCACAGCACTGCGTGAGCTGAACCTGAGCGAGGTGGTGCCTGGCAGAAGCCTGCGATGGGTGCAGCCGGCTGAAACGGAGGGGAGGCCGAAGGGCGGGAGCCAGCTCT